TTCCACTCATCTGAAATAGCATGGAAACTGAAAGTGTAAAACTGATTGCCAAGGTCTAGGGGAGGAGAGGAAGGAGATACGTGTTCAACGGGTGAGGGTTTCTGTTTTGCAAAATGAAAATTTCTAGACACTAAATGAGGTCAATTTACTTAAGAAGACTGAACTGTACACTTAAAAAGGGTCAAGATGGTAAATGTAATATGCTTTTTTTTCGCCGCCATTAAAAAAGTCTAAAATAAAATCTCGTGGGGTAGCAAGGTTTGATGGTTGGGGAGGCTCCCTCAGGGAAAGAGGCTGTGCAGGAAAGGGGTTGGCAGTCTATGCCGTGGTGATCTTAAGGGCACAGATGTGTGGATGGCATGTAGAGCAGGCAAAGAGAGCTGGAGGCAGAACAAGTTCTGGGCAATTGTAAGCTTTGCAATCCCCTCTGCTCCCTCTTTTTCTACCCTTTCCCTCTTTCTTTGAGTTGTTGCCGTGTTACTTCCAGCTCTTAGAGCTGATGAATTATGGATGGTGGTGGTTTCCCAACTGCAGTGCATTCTTCCTTAATTAGATTGGTTCAGAATATTACAGTGCAGACCTGCTGGTTGGACATTTGGCACTGGGGCAGGTATAAATCTCACCGCCAGCTTGGTGCACACCATTCTTAGGATGTAACACATACTCTGCCACCACCCAGATCTGGCTATATGTACCACCTCCTCCCCCTCCACTCACACACCCTGAGGACTCAGCTTTGTGGTGCAATTTTCTTCTTTTTTTTTCTTGCCAATCTCAGTGACAGTTTTATGTTCCAGAAGAAAGTGAAAAGTAATCTCGTTTTCATCTTACCCTAGGAAGTAGGTTTTTCAGAAGGAATATCGTGTCCTTTTTATGTATTTATGTATGTATTTAGGGGTTTCCTAAGACAACTAATGACCTGGTTAACACTTTTAGCTGGTATTGCAGTCAGGAAAACTGACAGAAAAAAGCCACGTGTAGCTTGGGGAAATGCAGCTGCGGTGGGAACAGTGTTTCTCGTAGATATTCAGGAATCTCTTGTCTGCCGTGCATATGTATGGATTGAAATAGTTTCTCTCCAGCCTCCTTTATGTCCCTCCTTTCCCTTGGAAGACCTCTCTAGGCACGCAGGATGGTTGTGCTGTGGGATGGCTTTCCAAAGCTCTCCGTGTTCCTTGGACTTATCTTAACTCTTCGCCTTCCTTTCCTATCAAAACAGGCCGACAGTGGAAAGAAGGTCTATAAGGGATTCTCCATCAAAATATAGCTTTAAGGTTATAATTCAAACAAGTAAATATTAACAGATCACCAGGGGCCTTGGCAAGTGAGTAAGAGAAATCATTAGAGGGCAACGTTCATAGAGTCCCATCATAGCCTGTCCACCTGCACCCACATTCTCTGCCTTCCTGTCTCTCACACACGAGTCTCCACTTCTCTCTAAAGCCAGTGTGCCCACTTATGCACTTGACCCCCA